CAATTAGCATCCGAGACTCGTTTAAGCAGCGACGAAAACACGTTGACGGAAGTTCGCGTTTATATCAACCTCGAGAGCTCGCCGGGCATATATTTTCGGGGCGTTTACGAGGGGAGAGAGGGAGTACGATGGGAGAGGAAGGAAGGAGAGGCATACACGTGAAAACCAGCGGTTTGCTTCCTGTTTCACGACGAATCGGCGGTTTCCGCTTCCACGTCTCTCGAGCGTGCGAATTTTACGCGTCGGCGGGGAAACGAGCAGCGAGGCCGCTACTTTGTCGAGGTAATTAAGTGATTTCATTTTCTCGACGAAAGCATCGAAAATGGTCCGCGCTCCGTTCCATGCGCTGCCTGTTGATTCCGCGATAATTAAATGGAGTTTCGCGCTGTGTGATGTTGCGCCGTGTGAATAATTATGTCGAGTTATCCGGCCTGGCACGTAGATTTGTACGCGATTACCTAATAATGGTTACCTAATAATGCCCTTCTCTATTCAGAAAAATTAGTAGATTAGGGGAAGGAAAAAAAACACGAGGGACGTGCCGAAGGAATTACGATTAATATTACACGTCGAAATTAGTTAAATACTGGATTTTTGAAACGGCGATCTGTCCACTAGCGACGAAGATTGGATGTCTTGACGTGGCATAAAAAAAAAAATAAACGACGTACCCTCGATATCAAGTATGCCGGAATAAGTTGGATTAGAGAGAAGTTACCGGGGCGCGCGAATGCCTGCGCCACTGTGGCAATCTTGCCTGGATTTAATTTAATTCCCGGCAGTCTCTTCCAGCCGGAGGGCGTCGTAAACACCCTCGGTCGGTTATGCCGCACCTGCATCTTCACTCGTTTCCTTCGCGAGGGCGCATTAAGCTAGCCCTTACCTTTCTTAACGATCCGGAACAAGCCGCCCGAGGGCCCCCGGCGCAGACTATACCGGCATAGTGTCGGATCGAACACCCTCGTAATGCGTGGCTCGTCGAGGGGAAAGTACCGAGTACTTAACGAAATACCCTTCTTTTAGTGTTTCTCATTTTTTCTCCTTACACTCTCTCTCTCTCTCTCTCCT